TTTTCTTTGTCCCATTTGTCTGCGGCCCCGTTACGCGCGAAGCCCTTGGGGACCTTCTAGGACTCTCAGCCACCTCGCTGCTTCGAGAAACTCCATTAATGCTCCTCTTAGGGATTGAGGCTGGTGACGAGGCGAAGTCCGGCGGTCCTCCGGCCGATTCTCGCGCTCTAGGGGAGGATCGGACGGCGGGCGATGATGTTGCGACACGAGAAACTCTCTTAGGGAAGGCAGGTGACGCGGTGATCAAGGCCGGCGAAGATTCTCCAAGTTCAGCCGATTCTCGCCTTCTAGGGGAAGATCGGACGGCGGGCGACGATGCGACGCGAGATCCGTTAGACTTTGGTTTGTGTATCGGCGACGAACGCGTCGATGTGCTGATGCGCTTCTTAACACTCAGCGGCGGTGCCATGGCGATGGTCTCTCTCCGTCGACTAACGACAGAGATCTCGGCGGTGTTGTCGTGGTCCGTGGATGCAAGAGAAACGTTACTCAGACGCGAGCGCTAGAAAAGTCGTCAGTTGGGTGCCTAATAACAGTTTTGGGCGGAAGTGCCAGCTCATCAAGGCACCTGCGCAACGATGCGCAGCGCAAACAAAGCTGGGTACCTTCTAGATGAAACTTACGGGACTGCGACCTGCCGGCTCCGAGAACCTATCCGCAGCGCGTTTGGCAAGACGTTGCTCTCTAGGCGACAAACTCGGTCGCGAGGAGGCGGTAAGTGGCATGCTGGAGGGTGGAGGTCTCTCTGCGGGCTGCTTGAGCGGTGATGACAGAAAGTTGAAAATCGCGTTCATGGTGACGGGAGGACGGGAAGATACAGGAGACACAAGCAAATAGAATTGAAATGGTTATTCGAGCAAAAAAAGGAGAAACAAACGGAGGGAAACGCGGTTTGAAGCCTTGTCTTGCGTCGAGTTTGTATCGGTTAAGTTAGGTCTGGATGGGATGGGATGGGCTACATGGGCATACGGGTTGTTTACTTTTTCTTGTTTGCAGCTGGAGCCGTTAGAAGGCGCACTCACTGGGAGCAGGACCTGCTGGGGGTGCAAGAAAACTCCGGACCTCGATCCTAAGTGACAGAAAAGTTTAGGTAAGCTCTTATCAGCTTAGGTGAATTAGGGTGGCAAAAGTTGATAAATTAGGCTTAATTGGCTAACGCTTAGGATACCTTTTGCCGAGTTTATTTTGACACCCTGAATTTAGGCTTGGTCTTTTCTTGCGTCCCATGATGCGCTGTGCGGGGGCTGGACTTTTTTCGCTTAAGCAAAACGCGACAGTGGAGGTGACTTAAATAGACTAGCGCCGACATGTCTCCACCACGAAAAGTGTCTGCATGCAAGCGCAACATCATCACCAATTACTATGCGACACATCTATCAACCAATTGTCGGTGTCACCGGAAGAAGACTGATTAAGAAACAGCAGAAATCTCAGCTAAATCCAGTAAACTCAACAAGCATGTTTTTGAGCTCATATGAAACCAAAGAGGGGTATTGAAAGTGACTCCAAGGGATGCACACAAGGTTCGGTGAGACCCAAACTCAATGGCCTCACGTCACCGACAACAGCCCAACAACAACAGCAAAAAGAAACACTTCAATGACATCTCAGAGACTTGCTCGGCAAAAGAAAGGGTCTGGCCGGGGATTGAACCCGGGACCTCTCGCAAGCTAAGCTGTAGGGTTTTCCCTAAGCGAGAATCATACCACTAGACCACCAGACCGAGTCACTCACGTGATACTTGTTGCTGGAGGGAATTGAACAAGCACGGCTCATGTACAGGTAGGGGAAATGGCAGAGATGGAAAGACGTTGTTTTGAGGTTCGGATTGAGTGAGGTGAGTGATCCAAGTACGGATGAAATCAAGTCAGAGTTTGGGAGCTGGTGGGTGAAACGCGATGAAGGGGGTAGAGCGGACAGGTTCTAAGATGTTTGTCTGTAGGGTAATCTTGGCACGCATTTGGTCCATGAGGACAACGTGTTTGCCGTTTGCACAATTGCATTGTGATACATAATTTGATATATGGTTATTAATAAAACAAAAGACAGTATTATTTTTTGTTCTTATTCTTATGTTCTTATTCTTGGCTGGGACCACAAAAGGGCTGTCAAATTATCACGCTGCTTTGAGACGAGACATGTCAGCAGTCGATGTAAGCTGCTGTCATTAAAAAGAATCACGCTACTGAATTGTAGAATTAACTAGTGTAGTATGGGCAGTGCAAAACAAATCCGTAGATTTCCTCGCCTAAATGGTCAAGGAATCATCTGCGATAAAACATCAATATCAATTACCTGAGCAAGCACAATCAAGGCGTATGCCCGTTCTATGGGTTCACGGACACCCTCTATCCATCAAGGTCTCCAGATTGTGAGCGCACGACACGCGAAGCAAACCGGAGAAATATCCCGTGTGGAAGTTGGATCCAATCAAGTCAATTGCAGCTAAATCCCTATCATCATTACCAAATCATGATAAAACGAAGCGCAGACTATACACGCACGGCTAAGCTGCACATACACCAGGCTTCCTCCACCAATGCTTCACCAAGAGAGACATTTCCCAATTCATCATCAGCCATTCACATTAGCAGCAAAAACAGAAACAACCTTCTTTTTCCGGCCACCTCCCCCATATTCGCCAATCTCTAACCCGGCACTTGATAAAAAACTGCCGTCTCTGGATCCGAGGCCTGCAAGCGATCCCTCCATCGTGGACCAGGCCCATGTGGAAATCGTACGATGTGTGGAGATGCACCCTGAAAGGGTGGTCACGTGAGAGCGATCCTTCTGCTGGTTTTCTGCATTTCTACCATTCGTAAGAGTATTTAAAAATTGTTTGAAAAATCTTTCATTATTTAGGAGGCACTGGCATTTCAGTAGAGGTATTGGGTTTCCGATTGTGCGAAAATACGTCGTCGTTGTGTTGCTCCTTCGTCTCTCGACACCTTGAAGGCCCAGACCGTCATCGAGGTGCGGTCGAGCCAAGCCGTGGTCCCTGTTACGGTTACTTGTAGGGCTGAAGAGAGCAATATCCCTGCATATCAGGCACTTACGGAACGCTACTGATATGTTTAAAAGGTGGACGTTGCCCCTTGATTGAACTGAACCTCTTGTCATCAAAGGGTCTTGTCCTTGGATCATCAGTCACAGACACAGCATTGAATCAGTAAGCTAAGTTAAATTTCTTCTATCAACGCCATGCTCTTCCATTATTTCTTGTCAACAAGGTTGTAAATCTTTTGGATGTCGGCCAACACAGCCTCAAAGTCAATCTTAAGATCCTTGAGAAGTCCATCCTTGAAACCAAACACCCATCCGTGGACAATGGGATACTGGTTCTCGTGCCACGACTGCTGGACATCAGCAGACTTGATGACGTTGCGACACTGCTCGACGACATTCAGCTCGACCAAGCGGTCGTAGCGAGCGCCCTCGTCCTCGATCGCATCGAGCTCCTTCTCGTGAAGGCGGTACACGTCGCGGATGTTGCGAAGCCACGGGTTCAGCAGGCCGAGGTCCTGGGGGGTCATAGCCGCCTTGACACCTCCGCAGCCGTAGTGACCACAGACGATGATGTGCTTGACGCCGAGGTGCTTGACGGCGTAGTTGATCACGCCCATAGCGTTGAGGTCGGTGTTGCACACCAGGTTGGCGATGTTGCGGTGGATAAATGCCTCGCCGGGCTCAAGGCCGCAGATCTGCTCGGCGGGGATGCGGGAGTCGGCGCATCCAATCCAGAGGTACTCGGGTGCTTGGCCGGCGGCGAGGTTCTTGAAGAAGTCAGGGTTGACTTTGGCCTTGTTCTCGGCCCAGGCGCGGTTGTTGTGGAAGAGCCGGTCGTGGCTCTGCTGGAGATACTTTGTGATGTCCTTTTCGGCCATTGTGCGCCACTCTGGTTTTGGAGCGGGTTTTGGGTCTTGTGTGGATGAAGAGAAACGGGTTTGGGAGCTGGTGAGTATAGAGCGAGAGGCAAGACGGTGGGATGATGAAGATAAAGATGTGAAGGAGGAAGAGGAGGAGCGGAGAGAAAAGGAAGGGAGCCGAGAGGAGAACATTAGAGGCATCCACAGCGCGGTTGCAGCTGCAGTGTGAGTATGGTGCGATAATGGATGTGACAGCGACGGTTCAACGGACAAGGATAAAAACGGGCAAGACTGCAGCAACCACCTGCAGTAGACTCAATCCTTGGCTTGGTTACACGTTGGGGGGGGGGCGCACTCGGTGCGACTGTCACTGTAAAAAGCAGCCTAAGCAAAGTACGGTACAGTATTAGAAGCTTCGCTGGAAATTCGGACGGAGAGATGCCGAAGGATAAGAAATTTTGGGGATGACGACGTAATTTGTTGAGCAGCCCTCTTTTTTCTTCCTTTCTTTTTCCTTGGTCCCGCCTGGGAAGAGTCAATCACTTTAAGCTCAAATTGGTTGGGCGATTGGCGATAAGTTTGATAACAGCCGAGATCAAGATTTCGGTCGCCGGGCCGTGCGTAGCCGTGCACCGGCAGTTGACGAGACTTTTCCGAGCATGTCCGTGAGCTTTTGGGAGTCATTCTATTACATTCGAGTCACTCTGTAATTTGACTGTGCCTTGGTGGTTGTGACTCAATGTGAAGGATTTAACCCGGAACCCGGGGATTATCAGCTCTGCCGACCCCACGTAAGAACCTCAATTTGTATTGGTCACCTGGAAACAAAACAAAACGTCATATCGCCGAATTGCCGGATCCCGGAGATGTTCATCTCACAACCCCACGTTTTGATCCTCAACACCAGATGATTAGAGATATCGCTTCACGATGTAGATGAATTGGTATCTTGGCGCCCTGAATAGGAATGCTTCCGTAGGAACACAAGACAGTCTTGGCTGCATTGTAACTCAAAGGAAACGCTACCCTGAGACACAATGACCAACACCTACCAAACACATGCATCTGCCGAAACACGCCTGCGATGTAAAGGAACCTCTAACCAAACCCAAGAATAAAACATCCACCAAACTATTACATATTGCATGCCCCCTTGTCGAGTTGCTTCTCCCACTCATCACCCTCAAACCGTGATAGAAGAGCCTGATGATCCTCCAAATGCCTCTCCTGCATATCCACAAACTCCCTCCTCATATACGCCGCCTTCACCTCCTCCTCAATCACCTTTCCCTCCTCTAAAACCTTCTTCACTACCCTCTCAAGTTCGGAGAAAACCTGGTTGACAGAATCTAGCGATTCACTGGCTTTGCGCTTCCTGCTCTGCGCCTCCACGAGGTTGTCCTTTTCAGGTTTCCATGTGGCCTCACTCGGGGCTTTGTACTTCTCCGTGGCGATCGCGAAGTTGAGATCCTGCGGGAACTCCGAGAGCCATTTGTTGACCCTTCGCTCGTCATCTTTGAGCTTTGATTCGAGCTCTGTGCACGCCTTCTCGTATTCCTCGTGCTCCCTAGCCCGTGATGCTCGCTCTGTCCGACACTTCTCCAGATCATCCTTCTTATTTTCGATGACCTCGTTATGCTCTCCGCGCTCCTTGCGGCGCTCATTGAGTTCTTGCTGAAGATTCGTCACCGACGGAAGTCCCAGGTTCAAGATGGAAGAGGTAGCCTCCTCCAACTTCTCATTGACGTCAAATGCCATATGTTCGGCCGGATCAAGGCGTCTGCGTTTTCGGTTTCCTGCGATAGGCGTCTTGTTACCAAAGATGTCCATTTCGTCACATGAGGGACGCTCCCAAACTTTCTGAACACTGTTTTTGGGGGTTCTGGCAGGGGTTCTCATACCCTCGGCTCCCTTGTCCGCAGAAGAGATAGAGGTTCCCCTCCTTGCAGGTGTTCTTCCTGGGGGAGGGTAACGAGGCTGTGTTGCATGTAAAGCAGCCTTGATCTTCTTCACGTAATAACCGCCCCAAAAGCTATCCGTTGACCGCAAAGGCTTACGGGCAATGAAGTCCAAGGCTCCCATAACGGCATACACGCCTGTTACATTCTGGTCCGACGGTTGTATTGTCGGTCCCGCCTAGACCGTCAAAGTTAATCTTGGGTGGACTTGGTTCCATGAAGGGACTTACTTCGTGAGTGAACTTCAACTCCACGTTTGAGCCATATTGCTCGACCCAGGAGCGAATCTTGTCGCCCACCTCCGTATGCCTACCCTTGTGCTGACGCGGATCCGGATCATAGTGTTGAGCCGTGACGACAGATTTCCCCGGATGCTCCTTTCTCGGACCCTGAGAAGAAACGCATAGGACTGTCCAGTGACCCGTTTTATGGTGCTATAAAGGTGCCACAAAGTCCGAGATTGCATAGTCAAATGGCTTTGTGTCCACAGTGCTTGAGGGCTGAATGGGTAAACCGGTCGGAGAGCCATTTCTGAGCAGCTCTATCAAGCAATCAAAGCTATCTTGAGTTAGTTCCTTATGGTCCTCAATCTGTCGTAAGCATTTATGAACCAATTGGTCCGGTTTCAAAGACTCCTGGGTCCTCAGACTTTCGCTGGGTGGCCTCTCTGTGCCACGATTTTGTGTCCTCAGCAACGGCATCGTGGTACGAGGGGTATAGAATTTTTCGTCAGTTTCCAACAGAGTATCCGGCGATGTTTGTGAGAATAAAGGTATAGCAAATTTAATCGAAGAACTTGTTGCGTTTCCCATATCGAATGATGCCACGCCGAAGTAGGGCTATACGGAAAATATATAGACATGCTAATCATAATAAATCCACAGATGCTAAAGACCTTGTCAGTTTCCCAAGGATGATAGCAAAACATCAGCACCCAGCCGTTAAAAGAGGGCTGTTTTGATCACGGACTGATAGATGGAGAGGACGCTAACGCAGACAGCCGCGGCTACAAGGACAAGCTCTACGGATTCTATTCTATTTTATCTGCGATTGGTTGGCTAATGTGAATGTTCCTGGTGAATCTTGGCCTCAGTATATTCTTCCTGCATAGAGTGGTGGAGCGAGCATTCTGCAATACGTTAATGGAATACTGATGCTTCTGACTGCGGCAGTGAAGTGAGAAACCCGCTGTCTTGGTTACATCACGGGATTGGTTAAAGAAAGATACGCCGTTGGGATTTTGCTGTTGGTAGTCAGCCGTTTGCTATTGCAGAACCGGGTACCTGGTCCCTTCACTTACAAGGATATTCTCGCTGTGGAGGTTAACCTGGCACTTCGTTCAAGAACGAAGTACGTACTTTAGCTTCCCTAGCTCATAAGGCGTTTGGTAATTCATCTGTCGCTTGTCTTCACTGGTGAACTTGTAAGCTCAATCTGATTCTCTCTTCACCGCAAAAATAAGTCGATGCAATGGAGCGTGCCGTTTGGCGTGGCATGTAAGTAACCATGCCTGAATATGAAGAATCTTGAGACGTGGCTTGTGAGAGGCGGATGCACGGGTCGGCCGTTACACTAACGGCTTGAGAATGAAAGTAGCGGTTAAGTTGGCGGGTGAGACAAGACCACACGTCAACTCCAATTACTACAAGGATGAGCTTCAGAAGACACTGAGAATACCAGTGGCTCTGAGATAGAAAGAAATAAAGTACGAAAGTCTCTGGGATAAGTCAATGGGATTGGGTGATCTAGCAAACGAGCCGACGCTGAAGCCACTGACAAACAACCACGCGAGATGGCTTAGGAATTTGAACCAACGAGAAAGAGGAATGACCTATGTGGCAGTGGAATGTCTGATATTATTCTATATGTATGAAAAGACCAAGAGCTGGATTAAAGTCTGATATAGCGCCTTTTACAGTAGACTAGCAGATACTTAGAGGCCACGAGAAGTCTGGATGCTCGTTTTAGTACGATAACAAGGGACGGGTTATCCTCACTGCTGCTGTACTTGAGATAGATGTAATTCCGTTACGGGATGATACAGTAACTTCATTCTGCTCCTCACGATCTGAAAAGAAAGTTACAAGTCATCATGAAGAGTCCAATCATCCTAACGCAGTCCTGGGGGCCAGTGGTGCTCTCTCACGGGCAGACCATGGAGCTATGAACCTGGATACATGGTGTGTTACGTACCTGTCTACCTACCTTGTTCCTGTAGCAAATCTTGGTCAATCAACGGGAGCATCTTCTTTACAACCGACTTTTGCTGGAAACAGCTCAGTACCCGTGACACGTTAGTGGCCTGAACAACTAAGGGAGTCTGTAGTTTAACTGACTGTGTAACAGAAACAGAGTCCCAGAGCGTGCTGGCGTCTGATACGTCGGTTACAACTTCTGCTACATCTTCAGAAGCTCAATCGGGCTCAGAAACAGGGTCATTTGTTCCAACGACCGGAACTCTGACCGACCAAATCACCACCTCATCAGGATCTATCATTAGCAGCGATGCCCTCACTACCTCAACAGGCATAATAGAACCACCAGGCCGCCCCGTGATATTCCTCATCTCCGCTCCCAAACCCCGCAAACGACAAAACACAGACAAAGGTTTCGTCGGAAACAACAATCCATCAATTTGCACCTTTGCTCAAAGTTTCAACCTCGCTGAAGAGCAGCTCTTCATAGGAGGAGTTCCATTATTCTACGACGGTGAAGATTACAAGGAGCTTGCTGCGGGACCTTCGCCTCCGGCAGGTGCTGTTACGAGACTCTTCACTGCAGCTGGTCGGTCGCTGCAGGTGGATTTGCCTGGTCGTGATGTAGGATTCTGTCAAGCGAGGGATGGGAGGGTTTATGTAATTTTTGCGAGTGGACCGGTTGGATGTGAGGCTGTGACTTTGGAGGTTTATGATGGTAAGTTGAGTTTGAAGTGTTGATGTGAGGTTGGTGCTGATTTAGGATTAGAGAGACAGTGTTAGAATGGGAGACTTGTTGGCGTTGATACGACTTCGAGCGTCGACGGTTCTACAATAACGGAGACCACTTCATTGAGTTCCGAAAGCATCGCTTCGTCGAGAAATGTCGTTCAGACCCTATCTGCCGGCCCAGCTTCGCAAACAACCGAGCCCGAAGCATCTACAGTAGCTTCTTCCGGCGCGACCGAGTCCACCCCAATTAGTTTAACAACCAGCATCGCCGTGTCGGAAGTCTCTACACTGTCCCCAGTATCATCTTCGGTTCTTGAAGAATCCACCAGCAATGAAGTGATCCCAAGTATCACGCCTTCGTCCCTAAGCACATCTACTGAGGCAGAAGAGTTAACTTCAATGGAGCCAACGTCACACGCTCTTCAGAGACAACGGAGGCTGCTGAGAGTAGCTCCGAGGAGAGTACCTCAGCTGCCACGACTAAAACTACGACTGAAGCTGGACAGTTCACCACTGAGGACGAAACGACTGTAGAGGCTGCTATTGAGAGCGAGACTACCACCGCCGAGGCTGCAACTACGACAGATACAACGACTGCCGTTTTTACCACTCAAGAGAGCTCAACTGTAGCCACAACTGCTGAAGAGACGACCACCGAAGACCTTACAACCATCGAGTCAACAATTGACACTCCAACAACAACGACAACACAACCTCTGCCCTAACCTGCACTGATGTAAACGGCTACACGTCGATCGACGAGTTCACCGCAGAAAGCTACATAGAGTGCATAGAAGCATGCTCTGTGTATGTGGGGTGCGCGGGCATAGAGTTCCTCAAGAGCTGGGGATACTGTTGTTTGTTCAATGCTTCGTCCGGGTCGTCTACTGATTACGCCATTGCTCTTGTGCAGCCTTACTCCGTAAGGAGGAGATGATTGACAGGGGTTTGGCCGTTGGATTGTGGGGTTGATTGACAGGGGATAACATAACACTCTTACTGCTGTGCTTTGTGAACACTGCTGTACATAATCTGCTTTGATCTGTAATTTTGCGACGGCTACATTTCAATTCAATATAACTACATCATATTACATAACTAAGGCAACCTTTCTTGAACCGTTCTCATCTATAACCCCCAATGTCGAATCCGATTACCAAGCGACGGGCCGCGCGGTTCATCGCCAAACCCTCCGATTCGACTAACCCATGATAGACTGAAACTCCGCTACCAAAGTCCGCTTATTCCTTATTAATCCACCAACATACTCTATGATGTCGACCGATCGCCCGAAATATCCGAAATGATATACTTCCTCCTTCTTTCCCTCTGTCCTTTCCTTTATTCATATCCTCTCTTACCGGTTAGCGAATATCTCCCCCGAGTATAGCATCCAGTCCCAGATGAATGCGACAACACCATAACCATGCCGTCAGCACAATCCTCCCACGATGATCCAACCGACCGACGTCCCGACGTCAGCTACGGCTCCTTTCCGTCTGACACTCCCCAACCCTCAAAGCCAACACAACCCTCCACACGCGCCCTCGCACCCGACCTCCTCCGTGGCCTCCTCATGCTGCTCATGGCCATGGACCACATGGCCCTCGCCCTAAACACCTGGGCCCACGGCACAGGCCGGGAGACAGAAATGGACGGCGTGCCTATAAAGCGCTGGAACCGCACGCCCGCCTATATCATCCGAACACTGACGCACCTCTGCGCACCGGGGTTCACAATGTTGCTGGGAATAGGCGTGGTGTACCTGGGACGATCGCGGAAGAAGCTGGGCTGGTCGAGTGGTCGTATTGCGAGGTACTTCTTCATAAGGGCTTTTGTTCTCACGGCTGTGAATGTGGTGCTGGGATGGGTTATCACGGTGGGAAAAGTGTGGTTTATGAATTTTGTGCTGTTTTCGTTGGCGGTGGATTATTTACTTGCGGGATTGCTTTGGGTTGCTATGGACTTTACGGAACCTTGGCTTGCAAAGCAAATTCCTAGTAAATCCTCCGATGAGAGTGAAGCACTGCTCGGAGGAAGAGAATCCTCAGAGCTTGGAGAGACTATATCTTGGCACGTACACAATGCGCTGCTTGCGGTGTTGGGTGTGGTGACGATTTGGTGGAATATCTGGCTCTCACCTACACACGGCCACTGTACCGTGGACGACCATTCATCTTCTCTGACAATTCTCTCAGCTGGCCAGCCTGGTTCAGTAGACAGTCCTGCTATTTCTCACAATCCCTGGTTCGGAATCTGGTTCTGGACTACTTTGACGGAGCGCGTTCAATCGGTGTTTCCACCCATGGCTTGGGTATCGTTCGCGATACTGGGCCTTTTATACGCACGCATTGACGTTGCGCGAACGTGGAACTCTCGTGTCGCAGCGCTGTGCAACACCGCCGCTGGAATATTCTTCCTCATTATCTTTGTCCTCACACGTGTGTTACACTTTGGAAATCTCTCCGAGGGCTGTCTCCAAACACCTGAGCACATCGCGCATCCCGACCAGAACCAATATCTCGTCTCAGTGCAGTCCTTCTTCTACATAATGAAATACCCCCCCGACGTTGCTTTCTGGGCCTTCACCTTGGCCGGAAACCTGTTCTTGCTGGCTGTTTTCGGTGGTATTCCTACCAGTGTTGCTAAGCGCTTCACGATGCTATTGGACTTTGGTAGAGCGGCGTTGTTCTTCTACCTTGCGCATTTGTTCTTTGTCTTTATCTTTGGTGGAGTCATGGTTGGTTGGTTTGGCCATGAAACTGAGAACCATGGACAGATGGATCCGGACTCCAAGCGAGGTATTGACAATGTTTTTGCGTACCTTGCTATTTGGGGGCTGTCGATGTTGTTGCTGTGGCCTTTGGTGAGGTGGTATGGCAGATTTAAGGCCACCAAGCCAGCTGACTCTATCTGGAGGTTTTTCTAGACCTTTCTGTATAATTACTGTTGTAAAAATAGGATAGACTTTGTATAAAACGAATTCAAGATCAATTATCATAAATAAGCAAATGAACTGCATTCTCTAGTATATGCCACGAGTCCCTCATCCACCAGTCGTCAGCTTACCGTATTATCCCCAATGGATCTAAAAATCGGACAGAAATTTATGGAGTCCTCGAATAATTCCCCTGTTCCGTCTCGATTCCTCACGCTCATCTTAGACCTGTCACTTACATCCTCACGCGTCTCAGTACTTCGAGACCGAGACCGACGACGATGATACGACTGCTTGTCATAGTCCTTGTAATGAGTAATGCCATCTCTCAGACCCCTCAAACTCTTGCCAAAGTGCTTAAGATTATACAAATCCCTGATGAGCTGCTCGACCCCGTCTTGAGTTAGAAGCGCCTCCGTATGGTCACGAGGAGTATGCATGTTTTCCTGGATCGTCTTGACTAGCTCGAGATGCCTATCTCTGTCATCTGTCAAACCCTTAAGCTTTATCTTGTTCACATCAACGTTTATTTTGTTGTTCTTTCCGTACTGGATCTTGCCTGTCTCAATCTTGATGAATTGGTCGTAATACTTCTCAGTCGCATCATTAAAGGCATTGGCAGAATGCTCTCTCAGATATGCAACAAACTGCGCCGTGGCCTTTCGTAGCTGTTTCTGTTCACTTCGGTATTCCCTCTCAAGCTGTTGAACTCGCTCTATACCCTCTTGTCGTAGGGCCATATCGCTTGCGTTGTCTTGGAGGCGTCGCTCAACGTCTTTATCCTTGACCCTGACCTTGCTCTCGGTCAGTTCGTAGAAGAAATGCATGTGCTCCTGCCAACTATGCTTGCAACTTCTACAACTCTTGTCTTTGGTCTCCTTGAAAGCCTTGCATTTGATGAGTTCTGGATGGCCCACATATTCTTCGGTTACACCTGGTAGCCTGCAATCTTCGTGACAGATTGACCTGTAGAACGTGACAACCTCGCCGCTGGAATTGGACTTGAACTCGCAGCAGTGCTTGTTCTTGCACACAGTCCGAGGCTTATCGAGCTTTGTAGGAACAACCTTGATCCTTTCTAGATGAAGTCTCTTTCGTAGTTCATCTCCCGTCAGACGCATATCATTCAACTCCGCCCTCTTTTCTTCCAGAAGGCTCAAATTCTTTCTGATCTCCTGGGAGACCTCAAACATGGGAATCATCAAATGACCAAGCGCTTCGCGTGCGCCCTCCATGGTGAGAGTTTGCCTGATCTCATGTGGTTTGAGGTTGTCTATGTACGAAAGAAGCCTTAAAGTTTCTGCTCTCGATCTATCCCAACTCTCGCGGGAGCTTCTCTCGCCTTGGCCTTTGACAGCGTGAAAGTACGCAGCCAGGTAATGGAAGCTTTTCGCATCAAAGCTGTACGTGTTTACGCGGCTTACTGTTAGGTCAACAGTTGTGTTGCCTTTCAGGAAGCGTTGAAGCGGCCCGAGAGCATCCCCTGGAGCATAGTTGGAGATGAGGGTATGTGTGAATCCAAAGACGACGTTTGCAACAGCACTGCGATGGAGATGGGACAATAGCTCCTCGAAGCAGAAATGAATTGTGGGAGTCAGACGTGCTTCGTTGGTCTTTACTAGGATCAATATTCCATGAAGCTCTTCATATCTTTTCAGAGTGTTCATGATGTCCTTGATGTTCTTGTTGTCTATTTCAGGACCTCGAGTGTCGCCAATACCTGGGGTATCAATTATTCAATATTTGGTATCGTTATACGTGACTCTGTAAACCGATGTCTTCTGTGTAGCTGAATCACCAGTGGTATCATCGTGTTCATCATCTCCAGAGCCAACGCGGATCGTCCGGTTCTCAAGGTCCTGATCTGGGTCCGATGAGTTCCAGTGACTGACTGAAAAGGAACAAGGGACCTTGTACTCTAGTTTTCGGGCTGACTTCGCCTCGTCGAAACTCTCAAATGTCAAGAAATTGACGAAGGAATTGATGAAAGTTGACTTGCCAACGCCAGTCTGTCCCAGAACCAGGATATTGCGACAATCAGGCCGACTTGATCTTGCCAAAAGTCGATGAAGCTCATCCGAGTGCTATCGATCAAAACCGCGCCCGTGCCTATCGCTATTGCATTTGAAGTCCCATGAGTCGTAAGTGGCTGAACCACAATCGCAGTAGATGCGGTCAGTCACTGTCGCAAACTCAAGAGGAGTGTCGCAATTGACGCAGGCCCATTCGCAACTCGAGTGAGAGCCACAAGATCTTCCGGGACAGGGGATTCTGACTGGACGGAGCTCCGCTGGTCTTTGTGTCTCAAAATCCATCTCGTCCGGATCGCAACGAGCGACACACCTCTGTGGCACTTGCTGGTGCCCCGATTGCCTGATCGGAAGCCTTCGTTCTGCTGACCTCTCTCGATACTCCGAAACTTCAATCACTGGCTTTGGAATCGTTCGTATTGGGCCAAAGATCGGGGCTTCCAACTCTCTGTACTCAGAAGGGGCATCGCAGTCGACTATAAACACCTGGTTGTGGTTTAGGGGGTTGTGAAGGAACTCCCTCAGAGCTGTGCATTGATCATTCCATGAACTTGAGCTCTTGAGCACGGCATTATTGAACAGGAATTGATATGGGGGAGGATCATGAGAAATAGTGCGTTCGTTGATGCAAGCCCCGTTGAAACCGATATATGTCGCTCCACTGTTGAGACATTGCTCGACGAATCTGAGCTTGTCGCTTTGCTGACCAGCGATCATAGAGATCTGCCGGGCAGACGATTCGTGATCTGCATGTAGGCACTCGAGACGATGTTCATGCACCGTGCCATCTTTGATACCTGCTGCAGTTCTCTGCAGTGTCATCTGGAGATCCTTCCGAGATGTCTCAAGCAAAACAATTGCTGCATCGACCTCGTCGATGTGACTCTTTGCAAGATATTGCTCCCGCCCCACGAGCGAGTGTCTATACTCTTCAAGCTTCTCTGTACAAGCATTCCAATCATCAAAAAGAGTAAAGACAGGGCCGATGTTGGTGATGGCTCTCAGGGCTTGGCGAGGTCCCCCACCGGGCATGAGATGGCGGAGGACTTGTATGGGATGCAAGGTGTACTCCAACGGGTATCCTGCTTCGTCAGGAGTATGTGTAATCTGCTGGGGGCCCAGCTGGACAAACCTGCACATGACAGGCAGGGTTTCTTTGCCAATACCACGATCCCTCTGGATGTCAGTATAGAGCTTGAACTCATAGTCGAGCTCGAGTCGCTGGCTTGCCTGATCATCGCTGAAGTCGAGCGAGTAAATGGAATTGACAATTGTGTTCAGCTCCATCAAGTCTCTCTGGAATGCGAGTTTCAGGGCTACTTTTTGACTTGGATCTGATATACGGTGCTTCATGGTCAGAATGTTCTGAAGTCCCCATTTGACACTGGTAACCACATGGGTGCTGCGAGGATCTGGCGGGAGAAACATTGCTGGAGCCCCTCCAGTTCTATACGCCCCCCTATTTATGTCTAGAACATCTTCATATGTATTGAAGAAATGACGGACTGCGCCGCAGAGTGTATTCTCACCCGCTATGCTGTCTTTCAGAAAGTTGGCAGATCTTTCGAGGTCGATTGAGCCAGATAGAATGCTTGCTGCGAGGTTGTCATCAACACGCATTGCTCTGAACCGACTCGCATGATCGGAACCTTCAGACATCCAGTTTTGGAGCTGGTTGGCGGGTGGGAGGATGCCTCGCAAGACAATTCCTCGTGGCAGATTCGGGGGCAAGATAGAAGACGGAAGGAATTGGTCAACCTGTGCATCATAAAGTGTGCCGATTGCGACCTTCTGGCCAAGTGCAGGTCTGATAATCTCAGCCATCTCGCCTCAAGGAAAGATGAAAGAATTTTGGGGTGAGTTGCTTGCGCCAGAAGAGTATAGAAGCGCTCGAAAGCTTGAGGAGAACCTCGCATCGTTCCCATAGCATCATAAATACTTCGATGAGGTCAAATTACCTGGCGGCCTGGTCGCCAATCCTCTCGCCTAGATGCGCCTGCTCAAAGGACAAGGCATCCTGACCACCATTGCGTGCAACATGACTACTGGAAGCCCGCTTGCCAGAAGGATACACCAAATTGACTGCCGCACCGTTGGACGTTGCACCACGACTGGTGTTTGTCACCGAGATAAGGCCTTTTCGCAGGCTCCTAGTATAGGTGGCCGCTATTGGATCGTTCACCATCGAGGCAAGACGCCCATGGCCTATCTGGTGAGGTTTTTCGAAAGCTTAGGTGACGTCGAGGTCGATGGCATACGGGTTGAAAAGACATTACACGGCAGTATACTTTTGAGATTGTGACAGGGTCATGATCCACGATGAGTGCCTCTTTCAACGACGTGAAGACAACGTGACTGGCATTTTGAGTAGACATCGGAGATTGACGGCATATTGAAAGTAACACCCCATCAGACAGTTCTAGAAGCGTCCAAGCTGTCCTGCGAAATCCCAGTTGTGTAAATTGAGGTAGTAGTATTGCTAGATGATTCCGTGACGCTCCGTTGCGTTTCTTTCTCGAGGGCCGTGAACAAACACCTAGCAGAGCTTCTGTTCCATAAAATGGCCTGATGGACAAGTAGGAGTGACTGCACTTTGCTGGTAGTACATGGGACACAAAACAGGAGCTGGAATAGAGTCCAGTTCACGCAGCCGTCCGACGCAGGCGCTGAAGGTTTTGGAAATTGCCCAAAAAATTAGCGATCTTCACCGGATTGGATGAACACATGCTCGGTCGGCTAAGCTATAACTAAAGAAAGATAAAACTTGAGTCCGAGTTCATGTAGAGGGATCATCAGATTCCCAGTACCTATCCAAGAGGCCTCTTTGTCGTCTGTTTAATCGACAATCAGGTGGTCCTTTGGCAACGGAACCTGAAGCCGTGATCTCTTCCTCATGACGAGCGGGCAAAGCCGAGAGAATTGTCCAATAGCGCATTATCTGGGTTTCGCTTGCGTGGAAAGCGTGAGCCGACACATTGATACATCGTTGGCCGGAATGGCGTGGTGTTAGATGCGGATGTAGAGGTTGAGATCATCGCCTAATTTGTCAAGGTTGTGCGTTTGTTAGCCTGAACAGAATGGAAAGAATTGACACAGTGGCCCTTCATCCGACGAGTGTTGTTTGTGTCGGCACCTCGCATCGTTTGTTGTTGACTTGCTTCCAAAATGAGCACAGGATCGAGGACGGTCATTACGCCATCCAGAACAACAATGAGCCCCCTTTACTGATGGATGTTACAAAGCAATAGACCGCCCAACACTTAAAATTGGTCATGGCACTTTTACCGCCAAATAGCCTTTCTTTCTCCATTCACCATATACCTACACTGATCTTGACCAAACGATGTCATCACGAGTGCATTCGTGAAACCTTTCGTCACTTCCATCCTCTTCTTGGCCCAACACACGATATTGAGATAGCTCCATGTTTCAAACGCCTCCCTTCATCACAGGAAAATTGTCCGTTGGCGTCTACCTTACTTCGCCGGCGCCATTGAAGCCATCATTTGACTTTTATTTAACGTCGAAGGCGCTGGTGCAACATCCAACAGCAACGTTCAGTTGAGTGACGTGAGGGCTCAAAGACAAGTCCTCATTATGTACATAACGTACGGAGCCAGAAAACTTTCAAATGGCACTGCACAATTGACCACATCAGCCTCTATCTCTTGCAACTGGGCAGTCTCCCCCCGTCAGTAGGTGCATATCGATCATGTCCCAACCTGATGAGTCAGCAACTTCCCCAGCGACCGACTTCGGCCGCGAATAGCCACACAAAACGGCAAACCCCACACCAACGTCAATTCGATCAAGGATTATTTTGTCGCATCTGAAATCTAAGCCCGCCAACAATCCCTTCATCACGACCCCTCATCCACCTCTACTACTCCCTGCAGTGGTCAATTGGGCTCGCTCCCTATCGGAATCATGCTGTCTGCTACCTCCTCCGCCCTGCGCACCAGCGCCCGCCGCGTTGCCCCCCGAGCCGCCGCCGTCTCGACCCTCGTTGCGCCCGTGCCCAAGATCTCCCTCGGCCGAAGCTTCACTGTCGCACAAGCTCGATGCCTCTCTTCTACCGGCCGTTTGTCCTACGCTATCCAGACCAACCCTAATCCTCCTCTGGGCATGAAGAATGCTTCCAACGATTCTCCCTCAAGAATTGGCCTCATTGGAGCTCGTGGCTACACTGGTCAGGCTCTTATCGATCTTCTGAACGAGCACCCCATGATGGATCTCCGACATGTTTCTTCCCGTGAACTTCAGGGTCAGGAGTTGAAGGGCTACAGCAAGCGAAAGATCATCTATGAGAGTCTGTCTCCTGAGGAGGTTGCCCAGCTCGATAAGGACGGCAAGGTCGATGCCTGGATTCTGGCGCTCCCCAATGCTGTCTGCCAGCCCTTCGTTGAGGCTCTCGGCGACAGCAAGAGCCTGATTGTCGATCTCTCCGCCGATTATCGTTTCGATGAGGACCAAAAGACCTGGAAGTACGGTCTTTGCGAGCTTCAGCCCAGAAGCCAGCTTGCCACAGCTACAAGAATCTCCAACCCTGGCTGCTATGCCACTGGCTCTCAGCTTGCTTTGGCTCCTATTGTTGAGCACCTCGGTGGTATTCCCAGCATTTTCGGTGTCAGTGGTTACAGCGGAGCTGGTATGTCACAACTCGCGCGGATGCCGTGTCTTGCGCGTAGCAGAATGCAGGATAATCTGGACTCTGAAGGCTAACAGTGGAACAGGTACCAAGCCTTCTCCCAAGAACGACACCAACAACCTCAAGGACAACCTATTGCCCTGTAAGTGCAAAGAAATCAAACGCAGGAGAGAGCAAGCTGACTTGTAAAGACTCCCTCACGGGCCACATCCACGAGCGAGAGATTAGCCACCACCTCGGTACACCCGCTGCTTTCATGCCCCATGTGTAAGCATGCTACCTCTTCCACTACGTCACCAAAGACTGACAATACAGCGCCTCCTGGTTCCGCGGTATTCACCTGACTGTCAACATTCCCCTGAACAAGGAGATGACATCTCGTGACATCCGCCAGATCTACCAGGACCGATACGCCGGCGAGAAGCTCGTCAAGGTTGTCGGCGAAGCTCCGTACGTACCCCCAGGCGCTGTGTTATCGCAATGAACTAACGTCGTACAGTGTTGTCAAGGCCATCCAGGACAAGCACCACGTTGAGATTGGTGGCTTTGCTGTCGACAGCACCGGCAAGCGCGTCGTTGTGTAAGTCTCTCCATCCCAGATCCGATGCATCTACTAACTTGTTAAAGATGCGCCACCATCGACAACCTCCACAAGGGTGCCGCCACACAATGCCTCCGTAAGTCCCTTACCCAACTCCAGCACCACCTTTCTGACAATCTCGCAGAGAACATGAACCTCGCACTCGGATATGACGAATACCAGGGAATCCCCATCTAAGCCACCAACAACACGGCGCATTTGTCGCTCCGATATCCACCATAGAGTACAAGTTCAACACTCCACAGAGCAAGGGACGCGCCAATCTCGAAGCGGCCCAAGCAAAGTATTACATATCTGTACCAGAACTACAACCATAGCATGCTATACCAGTTGCGGAGAAGAGGAAAGCAAGCATATTTAGAACACTGTCACGTCTGGGGAAGAAGACGTTTTTTTGTTATGATACAAATACAATTCTAGATAGAGGCTAAATGATGATTAACAGCTACCTTTCCTGGACTCCGCGTGTATGCTCCCGATAAGTGAAAGTCTAGATAAAATACATGATTGTAAGAGAAACGTGGTGATACATAGTGAGAGTAGGTTATGTGCTCTTGGACTTCTTCTTGTCGTCAACCTTCTTGTCATCCTTTGAGCCCTTCTTCTTATCATCCTTCACCTTGGGTGTCTTGGTCGCATCATCACTACTCTTCGTCTTGGTAGTCTTTACCTTGGTAGTCTTGGTAGTCTTCTTATCATCATCATCCCCGGAGTGCTTCGACTTGCTAGTCTTTTTAGCATCATCGCTAGCTTTTGTCTTGGTGCTGTCCTCCTTCTTGGTCTTGGTGGTCTTCTTTGCATCATCGCTTGTCTTTGTCTTGGTGCTGTCTTCTTTCTTGGTCTTGGTCTTATCGTCCTTCTTCTTGTCCTCGTCCTTGTTCTTGCCGTTTTGCTTCTTGTTGTTAGTCTTGAAGTATTTGGTGTCATCCTCCTCCTCATCATCGCTGCCAGAGGTTTCTCCCTTCTTGAGAGTGCCGATCTTTGTGGCTGGGCGAGTGAAGATGGTAACTTCGGGGTCACCTTCAACACCATCATCGTAACTAGCGTCATCGTCGTCGTCGCGCCTGTCAAGGCCACGGCGTGATGTACCACCGGTCTTGGGGTTGATGAAGCCAGCGACGACAGCGTTTGACTTTGTACCGGAAGAAGAAGAACCAGCGGGTGAGAACTTGATCTTAGTGTCGGCAGCGTTCTTGTTGCCAGTCTTGTCATCTGGTCGAAGAGCATAGCCAGCCTTGGGTGCACCGCCAGGAGGAAGAACCCAAGCTTCAGCACCCAAAATGCCGCTGAGGCAGACTGTAAAAGCGAAAACAGGCTTCATTTTGAAGTTTTGAATGAAATGATATAGAGATAGGGAATAGAGCGAGTGTGTTTGAGTTGAAGTGTTTGTTGAACTGATCAAACCACAACCTTGCAAGACAGCAACCAGTACTTATACATCAATCATAGGCACGATGTGCTGAGATCTTAGCAACGAATTGATCATCCTTTGGGAAAAGTTAATCACCAATGCAGGAACGCTGATCAGGGCCGGGACTTGGCATGAGGCTTGTCCGATAAAACACGGTACCTTATTTGGTCTTGGCCGCAAGAGTCTAGCCACAGGTGATCTAGGCTATTAAATGCCTATGAACTTAGGAATGTGAATAGTTTACATACCAACTATGTATGTGGCGCGGGTCTGGGTTTAGTAGACAATGACAGTTAACTCTATTTAATGACCGATCAGCGCCATGTAGACATTCCTATCCCCATTTTGACCGTTCCTGGAGTCTATTTACTGAATTATTTGCATTGTTTTAATGATTTCTCGATTAGGTTGGCTTCTTCCGATCCGCCACAATGAGCGAGGCGAGAGTTACGTTCCTAGGCCCTCAGGGTCTAGAATGTTAGGGACCACGCGGGGATGCTAGTTCGATTAGAGGATCTGGATCAGTGTTTTAGCTTGGGGATGACAGGTGGATTATTAATGAGACAGGAAGCCTTGTTGCACGTGGGCAAAGCTTGGTGTTGTGTTGTGCCAAGTAAGGGACCAGACGGGAGTGCCTGGAGTGTCTCTGCAGCGCGCAATGGAATTACTTGGAGCTATTAAGTGCGAGGAATCCAGAGACCCTGACAGATGATTAGTTCTGTAAGATAGCAGATAAACTACCCCGAATGCAAGCGACTTGTAAGGACAACTTGTTTGTGCTAGCACTCCTGCATATCATTTGGGAGAGGCAGCTTTGTAGATAGCCCGTCTTGAACTCGTCTATACCTAAGGCATTACTTTTAATATAGCATGATTGCAGCTGTTAGATATTTATGAAGCGGTAATGGAAACTCATTTGTAGAATGTGGTATGCCTTGCGGCCTACCATCCGACCAAATTATGCGATGTTTGCGCTCTCATGGCCGCAACTTGGGCCAACATCAAGGCGCAGGCAATAAACGTAGCCAAAGGCTTTCAGCAGCGGTTACATCTCGATTGTGATTGATGCAGATGAGTGAATTGTGTGAGTGGTCGCGCACATGCAGGAGGCCTTCCATGCTGTCATCAGAATAAAACAGAGCCTCGCCCAACCAAACTCATCAGCATCATCTCCTCCTTACATCAACACCACCGACGCAAAAAGCACCTTCATCGAAATGAATCCACTCACCTCCATCATCTCTTGCCTCACCGGCCAAAGCGCCCCAACTCAATCATCTCGTCAGGTCAGCGAGATCAACACAAACTCAAAGCTCATCACCGCCCAACCAGTCCTCTACGCCGACGACGCAGCCTCTCAATTCGTAACCATTCTACAAACACACACCGGAACCCAAGCTCAACTTCATCGCCGTCTTGATGAAGTAGTTTCCACCACCGGCTGGACGTCAAGCCTCGCCGAAGCCATCGAGCGCAAGATCGAGAAGCTCTTAAAAGATGGCGCAGAGCTCGCCAAGCCCATGGCTGAAGCCGTAAAGAGAGCTACAAACACCGCTTTGGAGTTTGCGAAAGAACATCCTGTTTACGCTGGATTGATCGCAGCTGGTACCATTGTTGCTATCGGTGTTTTGGTGGAGTTTGAGCTCATTTGGGTGCTGAGAGCGCTGGGGTTCGATGAGATTGGGCCCAGAGTCGGTAAGTCATTTTGTTCGCGACTGAGGAAGAAACAAAAGCTAACGATTCTTAGGGAGCTTTGCCGCAAGATGGATGAGTAGCCTTGAGAAGGTGCCCAAGGGATCGATCTACTCGTATCTTCAGAGGCTGGGGATGAAGATTGCTAAGTGAAGTCGGGGTTGGAGATGGAAACAATTTGAGCAATACCCGTAACTGCCAAGTCGGTTCAGCGGAAGCATTTCCTTTTACTTATCAGTCAATTAACCGACAGTCATTTCCAAATAAGCGACATCTGGTATTCAATTAATTAGCTGTGCTGAGAATATGGCTGTATTGGCGCTGTTAAGCTTATTCCTTAGGCTTCATGTCAGCTGTCAACCATGCTCTGTCTAGTCACTTTCAAGATGCTTCAATGACCCTGAAAACTGTCGTGAATGATGTAAAAGCGCCCTCCAAAGATCAAACCCCGGACATTCACACCCGAAGATCGGCGAGAGGCATTATCACGACATTATCCCCCTCGCCCCCTCCAAATTTACCCCGCCATTCAAAAGAACCCCTCCCCCACGTCTCCAAGTGCAACGTCGGGCTCGACCCGAGGTCTACAGGAAAGTGTTTACATCATAAATATTATGTAAATAACCTCTTCTCCCTCAACTTCGTATTCTTTCTGTATTGCTCGTTGCTCAGCGAATAATAAGCATGCCACTGCCTACGTCGTCGATTTATGAGCCGCCTTCGGCTGGCTTCACTGGCTTTCCTTCAAGGAGGAGTGTTGTTCATAGCACGGAGGGTATTGTAGCGGCGCCGCAACCTCATGCTGCGAACTGTGGTCTTGAGATTTTGAGAGCTGGTGGTAATGCGGCTGTAAGTCAGTGTTCTTCATACCCATGGTTCAGTAGCTAACAGACATCAGGACGCAGCTGTGGCGGTTGGTACGTCAACATCACGACAATGATAGAAATTGTGAGCGAGGGCTAACTGAACGCAGCTGCTGGTTTGAACGTCACGGAGCCTGTGTCCACCGGCATCGGTGGTGACATGTTCCTCCTCTACTTCGACGCCGCCACAAAACAAGTCAAAAGTCTCAACGGCTCCGGCCGCTCAGGCTCAAAGCAGACCATTGAGAACATCCGCAAGAGCCTCAACATTCCCGACGGCAAAGTTGGCGAAATCCCAACCCATCACGTCCACGCTGCCACTGTTCCCGGCGCTGCAGCCGGCTGGGTCGATACCGTTGAGCGATTCGGCAGTGGAAAAGTCAGCTTGAGCCAGATCCTCGAACCAGCGATTAAACTAGCTGAGAATGGGTTCCCTCTTACTGAAATCGCTTCTCACTCTGTAAGTGTTGTACTTGTGAGAATGGGAATTGGACTGACTTGAGATAGTGGCAAGCTCAAGAGAAGCTTCTTCGTGATGCATCACCTAACTTTGCAGAGATGCTCAAGAAAGATTCCTCTGCGCAAGATGGCGTGAGAGCTCCTCGACCGGGTGAAGTATTCAAGAATCCAACTCTCGCCCAGACTTTCAGAACTTTGGCGACGGAGGGTAAGGCGGGCTTTTACGCCGGCCGTATCGCAGAGGAGATTGTCAAGGTGGTACAAGACCTCGGAGGATATCTCGAACTCGACGACTTGAAACACCATCTTGAAACCGGCACTCAAACCACGGAACCTATCTCTGTTAAGTTCCGCGGTCAGGGCCTAACGGACAAAGATCCCAATGGCGGTGTTGAGCTCTGGGAACACCCCCCCAACGGCCAGGGTATCGTCGCTCTCATGGCCCTGGGTATAATCGAACAGCTCGAGAAACAGGGAAAGATTCCAAGATTCACACCAGAAGATCATAACTCAACTGCCTATCTCCACGCTATTATCGAAGCGCTACGTCTCGGCTTCACAGATGCAAGCTGGTACGTCACCGACCCGGACACCACCAAAGTTCCCACCGCCGGCATGATCTCGCCCTCATACCTCGCCGAGCGCGCCAAGATCTTCTCTGCTTCAAAAGCACACGACGGTGTTCAGCCTGGAAACCCTGATTTCGTATCTCCTGCTCTCCAAAGCAGCGATACAGTTTACTTCACTGTTACTGATTCCGCCGGTAACGCTGCTTCATTCATCAACTCCAACTACGCTGGTTTCGGAACGGCAATTATTCCTAAGGGTTGTGGCTTCACACTTCAGAACCGCGGTGCGAATTTCTCGCTGGATGAGAAACATCCTAACAAGCTTGAGCCGAGAAAAAGACCTTATCACACGATCATTCCCGGGATGGCGACCAATATCAGTGATGGGTCCCTGCACTCTACGTTTGGTGTAATGGGCGGATTCAACCAACCTCAAGGAACCATCCAAGTTCTCCTCAACCAAGTTCTATTCGGTCTAAACCCTCAACAGGCTCTTGATGCACCGCGAATCTGCATTGGAGCCGGTATGCCAGACGAGGGCAACGTTTTGGACTGGACTGTTCATGTGGAGGAGGGTATTTCTGAAAAGACTGTTGAGGAGTTGAAGAAGTTGGGCCATAATGTTGTAGTGCTCAAGGGGTGGAAGAGAGCTATGTTTGGGCGCGGGCAAATTATTAGATATACTGTTGATCCGGATGGAACGCCGGTTTGGTCGGCTGGTAGTGATCCTAGGGCTGATGGTGCAGCATATCCTCAGTAAATACTTCTAGGTAACAAAATCAAGACAATTCATTGCCATGATACAATGCTGGAAGTCGCTATTATCAAGAGTCTCTATCTAAAAGATCGTGATCCGTTTCCTTTCCATCTTGGAAGGGTCAAGGTCTCCCGACTCGTCAGTGTACTTGCTCAAATCTCCGGACGTCGGCGGCATAAGAGGTTGTGTTGTCAGATTATAGCAAAGCACTGGTCCAACAATCCTGTATCCTCCCGAATATCTTCTTAATAGAAAGGGCTCAGATGAGCCGCAGAGGACCCAAAGTTCATCATCTTGTTGTATTGGAAATCTAGCCCCGAACAAAAAGTTATTCTTACCAGCAAAGATCTTTTGATGGCCGATGTCAAATCCAGAATCTAGAAATACAGCCCACACTTGTAACGCAGTAGTCTCCAATTCAGAGTGTACTGGATGTGGTACCTGGACGAATGACGCATCAGCGTACCCTACTTTGATATAGTGGGCAACGAACTTGCTACCATTCCAGTCGTTATTTGTCGTGTACAGCATAGGCTCAAGAGGATTGTTAACTTTGGTCCAGTCCACGACCCATGAGGGTAGCAACTCTCCCTGGCCAGAAGACGAGGGATCGCCGCGGCTTAGGTATGATAAGACGTCCAGGCTATCCTCGAATGTTATGATACGCTTCATTGTTTCCACCAGAAGCGTTTCAATGCCGTTTTTGGATGAATAGTCCGGTACTATTGCATAGCCAGGATGCGCGAGCCCGATCATAGAGTAGATACGATCCCGTTCATCAGAAGAATGACTGTTTTGCGTGTATACCAAAAGCCTTTTTAGGTCAAAGTTTCGATACCATTCTTTTTTCGCGAGAAAGACACTAAGGACCTTGGAAATTGAGTGAGAAATCTGGGCTCGCGTAGCCTGCGCACGCTTGAGCCTTTTCTTGACATATGTCCCACGGTATTTGTTTGGTTCCAAGAGTATCTCCAGCGTCGCTAAGCAGAGATCGCAAATCAGTCTCAGCATATCTGGGTAACCCACAGAGTGCAATCCATATAGGAACGTCGCTCTGGAAGACACCATGAACTCTTGAAAGACCCATGCTCTTCCCCACCATGGACTGGTCAGGACTTTGCAGAACTCGATCCAACCGTCTACAAACTCAGGCAGGCTCATGCATTGCCGCATCTTCAGTTGAAACGAAAAGTTTGCCTCGGGGCCCCGGGAGCGTCGCTGGTACTCTGGGGGAAACATGGCGTCGAGAAACAAATCTTCTCCAATGAATCGTTCCAGTTGGACAAGCCAGCGCATCCCATCTCCTCGCGTCTCAGCAACAGATAAACAGATAAGAGTCTCACTCGCACTCTCATAGATAGCTCTCATGAATCCAACTTGATGAGATCTCTCTGCCAGATTAGCCTGGTTGATACATATCTGATCCACCCAAAGCAAGAGATCCCGATGATACGTATGCGTCTTCCAATAGTGGCGAACTGTCATCAAGGCGTGGTGCAGGTTGGCAAAAACATTGCATCTTGCCCCATTGACGATTATGGGTTCCGTATTGCGTGCATCGCCTGCGCAGTAAGATAATGCAAGATATTGCTTTTGCACATCAGCGAGTTTCACGCTAGGTAGTAGTTCACATTCGATGAAGCCTGATCCCGAATTTGGCAGAATTTTGAGAAGTCGGATCTCTCTATCGCCCTCATTGAGATCCTTGTAGTGTACCTTGGAGAGAAACTCGCTGTTTTCGGGGGTGCAGAAGATGTCGTGTCCTGGAGGCTCGTTCGACGTGGTCGTCGATGTTGACTTTTGTTCTTTGTCCATGGAAAGGTTTGCACAAGTGTGATGATACAGACTCATTCGATTGACTTTTTTGTTCAATCATCTGAAATTGTCGATACTTATCCAAGGTTCGGGGCCTTCGTTGCGATATTTAAATGGCATGTCAGAATGCCTTCTGAGGCGAAGCACACAACCGCATCTCGTGATTGGATGACTGGGTCATAACACCCGCATTGTAAGTCACGGTCAGCATTTTCTCATAACTTTGATCCTAAACAATACACAGTAGTCGCCAATCTATAGTTATAGTGATGGAGAGAAGATCGTGGCTCTGCCTTAGAAGTCAAGTGTCCGTGAGATGCACATCTGTATGCGGGTGGCTGAACTACCAGTCTTGCGACCCATTGACATCTCTCACTAGTGATTATGCTCAGAATACTGGTTCAAAACTAGGGTTCCCTTCTTCAAGTCTAAAATCTATATCATAACAAGTCCCTAATCCTCTCCGCTTGGTGGCAACCGATTATCGTTTGGGAACACCGTATGTCATTTGGTATCGCAGTCACATACCATCTAGAAAGCTACTGCATTATCTTCAACTTCAAGATACATGTTTCCACTGTCCCTTCAGGATGATATGTGATATGCCATAAGATTGCAACTCAGTCTTGTGGTCAGGTGCGCAAAAAGACCCCCGCTGTCATGCCGTTTATCCGCCTCATGCTGTGGTCGCGCCACGAGCTGAAGTTCAACGCAGCCCTATGCGTTACGATAAAACGTGACTACACCAGGTCACATTCTTGGGAGACATTTAATATCATAGTTTGTATGCATTCGTTCAGAAGTCCATTCATCGAATCTTTCAGCTCGTCAAATAGGCTTTGTGGTGGGAATGTGGCTGGCTGGAGTGTAAATCTCCTCATTCTTCGGGATCAGAGGTCGCAAGTAGTGAGATATGGTAATAGTTATAATACTAGGCAATACAACAGTTCGATGCCATCGCAATTTTCTCAATTTCTCGCATTCTATTATTGTTTCATTCTTTCGTATCCTTCGGTTCTCCTTCAGATATTACTCCTCGGACACCAAAACTATTCCCTTAACAAGAAATAATGGAATCAGAGATTGAGCCAAAAAGTGAATTTACTTATCTTGTCTATGAATGTGATAACAATAGTCTTGCTAATTTTGGATAGAGCCCATTGGGTCTGCAACGAAGCAAAGAAAGCGATGTTGCCTTACGAGGAGAAGGGATTGATGAAAGTAGTTACTTACCAGCTTCCCGTTCCTTGCGGCGATTGCTCTGTACATCTTCTCATCGATGGGGACGGCCAAACACTGAGCGCATTCATAATTGACAGCGGAAGAGATGCTCAAGGTCTCAAAGCTTGCTACGTTGTCCTTTCCGGACTCAAAATTATTACTCGAATCCACAATCTCAAGCCGCATTTCTTGAGAGCATGGGTTGTTACACATTGGGACAAGGACCACTACGAGGGAGTGCTCGAACTTCTCCAGCACGAAAAGCTACACCAAGAGCTAAACGAATATATACAAACGGACAACTTTATGCTCTATGGAGTAACAAGCAAAAAGGTCAGCGACCTGGTTAAGAAGGCCTTGGTAAGTCTCAACATCTTTCTGCCTAGGATACGCATTTACAGCTCTGTGACAGGCAAGGAGTAAAATCATAGCGACCGTAAAACTCGGGCTCGGCGTCATAGGGTGCAACTTCTTAGGCGAAGAATTCAACAAAGCTGGTGTCGGTTTCTGGTGTGTTGGCGGTGATGGCTATAGCTACGACACTGCCATCGACTTTAAGAGTCCCCCGACACCCCAATCTGACAAGAACACACCTAAAAAGCTCCAGTTGGTTTGCAAGAACAGCACGTATCCTACCCAGAATGAGAGATCCCTCATGGCTGCCACCATATGGCCCAATGCTGATCAGGCTAAACTGCGATTCTCCTAGTTTTGTGCCGGTGATGGCAATGTTCTCCTTGAAAGAAATAGTATCTGTCCTAAAGTGTTCCAGGGTCGCCCAGTCAAGGCGTTCAAGTTAGATCATCACGGTTCGTCGGGGGAGTTTTCTCAGGGCGAAATTTTGAAACTACTCAATCTGCCTGGGCGTTTGATACTAACACCTGGATATCAATACGGGCACCCATATAAGCGCTTCATACAACTAGTATGGTTCGAACACGGCTAACCGTCGATTAGGCTGGGATGTCCTGTTCCTAATTGGCTGCATCTACAATGAAGGCAACTCAAAGCATGACGGCAAGCTCTTATACACGACGCGCCTACCTTACTGGGTTGATGCTAGCAAGTTTGAAGAGTGGTGCAACACTGATATGAACCTCAGTGGCCGAATCTCTGGATTGTTTCGGTCTGATGGGCCTCTTTCTGCGGAAACCAAGTTCCTGAGTGGGAATGAGTTCAAGAATGCTCTTGTGAAGATGTTTGAAGATTCTCAATCGCGTAAAAATCCCTTCTGGGGAGATCAACTCACAAAAGCCACTACAGGAAGAAGACGACGAGGACGAAGAGGATGATCCTCCATATACTCGTCAAGCTGCTCTCAAAGATTTCCTTCTCAACAAGCACTATAATGACAATGCGGGTCCGAATGACTCCATTCAATCACGTGTCACAACAGAGCTCGAGGCCTCTATCAAGGAGGGAACTGATTGGAAGTATAAGATGGATGACGAAGATGAGATGGATAGGGAGGCGCAGATAGACACGGAGCAGAAGGCGGACAAAGACAAGATGGATGAAGAGGTGAAGAAGGAGACTGTGGAGAAGGCGGGCAAAGACAAAGTGGCGGACAAGGAGAAGAATAAAAAGAAGAAGAAGAAGAAAGGCGAGAACGACATGGACACCGAGGACAAACAAACCGTGGTACAGGAGTGTGTCAACATATGGAACACAATCTCAGAGCAAAGTATCAAGGAAGGTGAGGCACAGGCGAAGTACTACCTGTTACAGCTTATTTCAGCGAACCACAATGATCTTGATGGAGCTATCAAGGCTTTTGAATGGCCAGAATTGCCATTTCAATACAAACTGTAGGTAGAGTTGAGATAGCTAAACAGGACTTTCATAATACACGCATACAAAATTATCTACGCTTCATTGGCGATTTATAATATCTGAAATAGTTCCGTATTTAAATCCTAGCGATCTGCTCTACTTTATTTTGTCAAAAGGTCTCCGTTGTCTCAAGTTGTCCCATTTACATGGGACACCACATTGGAGTTACAAGGTCGAAGTTTGTTGTTTGCTAAATGCTGATTGCACTTTGGAACATTCACCTACTGAGACAGCCGAAGATGCGCAAATATCCATGTTTCCTTTTCTGATAGATATTCCTGAGGCGGTTGATGGTCATTGTGTGCGGAATGATTGTGAGAATGCCTCGTGAGGCTTAGCAGGCTGATGTTGATCTCATGATTGGATGCCTGGGATGCAGCAGGGGGGCGACCAACAGCATTTAACAGATCATGGCAGTCGATTCCAGGCAGTCATCAGCATCGCATTAATCGAAAGAAAATTTCTCCCAGCTATTTTCAAACTTCTATTGAGGTTCCACGTCCAGTCACTTCGTAGTTCTTGCTAAGCCTAGGACCACACCACTACCTCGTTACTGGCGGCATTAAAGCCGCAGCTAAGAGTTCAACCCCTATGCAATCTTCCGATGAATCACCTAGTAGTCCCATTATCCAATAGTAGACTCTAAAAGAAAGATGGGACTCAAGCTCAAGTCCGAACGCCTATTTACCGCGTCAGACTAGGTCGAGCGGTATATAGATACAGTTCCTGCTCGCACAGCGGCTCCAAGAACTGTGCGCATGTTTGCGGCACATATGTTTAGCTGTTTCGAAAAGTAGAAGAATGCAGTTCTATCCAACAAAACATGTAACGGATTATGCAAGGGGCTTCGCAGTGACTAGGGCTATTAGGCAGAATCACCACCGTGAAGGAGTAGGCCTCCGATGACGATCAGACCAAGATGAGTAGAATGTGAGAGAAAGAATTCGAATACCTGTTTTTCGTGACTTGTCTCGATAGTAATAAATGTGTGTTGCCTGGCAAATGCCTTGTGCCTATTTTCCATTCCAGCAACTATCTGCTTCTTAAGTCGCCGCCACCAGCCATGGAGTTGGCTTGCGGCTGCGCCCTTGGCCAGCACTTGGCTATATTTGCTACATCCGGTACAATCAGTGATTTGGTTGATATACGTCGGAATTTGAGGCAGAGAAGTCGCAAGAGAGGTGCAGCTGCATACCAAGCGAGTCTAGAGCAATTCCGCTCCCAATTCATGACCAGATTTAGAATATCGGGTAACGATCTGGTCGATAGAAATGACATAGTCCAGCAAAATGGACTTATTGAGATGGCACATGAATACCTCTGTGTTTGTGAGAATGGCTCATTGTACTGGCCTAGTACGAGCGATGACGGATCTCTTCGGTACCCCAGAGATCAACACGAGTAACTTTTCCCTCTCGTCACTTGGCTTCTCTCTAACTATAGAATACAGGATTTACACCAAAATTGTCTGGTTCTTCCTTCGAAAGAATCTGAAAGATAGTGGGAAGAGGTTACGCTCCACACGTTCACGAACTACGGCTGCAGCTAACGGCCGACGACCGAGGAATCCCAGCAACGTTCTTGGCAGCGAGAGCCCTACACCATCTCCTCCGGAGCGCGAGAGCCCCGACCATGCAGCGTTGGTTCTCTAATTCAGATACACATGACAAAAGCGCTTACCGTCTTCAGAGCAGTAGCCAATGAAGATGGTGATTCTTCCTCATCTTCAGAGAGTCCTCAGTCGAGCCAACCCCCGAGACAGGACGAAACCATTAATGACAGACGTCCGATTCCTTATGGCAGGACTTGCAGTCCTGATGAGTTGGCTGGATATGTAAGTGAGATAACGCTTGAAGGGATACTTTACTGACTTCAGATTACTTAGGGTATTGATGAATCGGGACATCTAATTCCTGACGCGCAGCCCCGACGTGTAAGTCAGATGCAAGATTTACAAGATAATCTTAGGCATATGGGGCCGGATCCAAGACCAAATATGGTGATCGACCATAGAGAGCCTGCAAGCAATCCACCGGCGCATACTACTTCCACGGGCACTCAAACGGGACTTGAGACAGATGAATATCGTGATAGAGATCCCAATGCACCTCCCCCCTCATCCATGAACTCAAACAATGCCTCTCAGCAGTCTCAGAAAGCGAACCAGAATGGCAATCAACCCAGGCCCATGCGGCCACGGAGATCCATCGAATCTGGACAAAGGTCGCCCAGCCCACCATCCGAAGTCCCAAGATCTCCATCCCTAGAGCCTAAACCCAACATTGACCTCATATTCAGCTACGATGTCCTCCCAGGATTCAATCTCCGCCTAGCACACGGCGAAGAGATCTTTTTATTCCCCCGAGAGCTAGTGTTCCGGCTACTGAATTGGCAGCATGACTTTGACTGGCTTCGAGCGAAACGAGAAGCCCCAGGGGTACTTTTTCAAGAACGTATATTCAGGGATGATAATCAGGAGTTTCGAAAGGTGATGGCGAGGTTTGAGCAGATAGCTTGTGCTATGAAACGTGATTATGCTGAGATGGGGCGAAGCGCAGTGATCGAGATTGCGTTTGTGCCGGAGTGTAAGGGACATTCGCGAACTGTGCTGCTGGATGCTTGGCAGAGGCGCTGGGAGAGATCTCATGGCATTGCTCGCTGAGCTGAGATTTTACGGACATGAACTGGAAGATAGATACTTTATAGACATAGACCATTGCTTTCGGAATATAAACCTACGGATGAATCGAAACGACCAAAAGCGCAACGCACGAAGGGGTCGTTGACGCCTTGTGATGTAACTTAATTAACAAACTGCTCCTACAACCTGATAAGAAGTGAAGGAGGGACCTGATTCCTCTATCTAGAAGAGATGACAGTATCCCAAACATCATTGCAATGAACCCTTTTCCGTTGTTCATGATAGGAAGCTAGAGAAGCTATAGCAGCTATTTTGTACTACTCCCCCATCGCAACCCTTCGCAGCTACTGATCGTATTCTGCTCGTAGTGAACAAACAGGTGCGCTCTCCAAATTGCCGTTCTTATCAGAGAAGCTGGAGCAATTGGCAACAATAACATGTAAGAGAATGCAACCGGCGAAATACCAATGACCCCCAGCTTCTTCAGAGCACCAGAGGTCGAAAAGCAGATGACCACACCGTTCTATTCCGTTCTTTTGCTGTACATTCGTATCTGTCATATAGAGGTATCTCTTCACTATTACACCATGTTATACACTCGACCGGTCGTAATCGCCGCTTCTATTCTTTCTGTTCAGGCTCTCCCTCCAGAATAACCTTCTTCTCATCAAACAGCTTCGCCAGATCACCATTCTGATGCATCGAAACCAGAATGTCCGTTCCGCCAATAAACTCCTTCGCGACGTAGAGCTGAGGAATCGTAGGCCAGTCAGAGTACTCCTTGATACCCTCGCGCAGCTCGGGATCCTCGAGGACGTTGAAGGCGGCGAATTTATCGGGGTTGACGCCCTGGAGGCCGAGGATCTGGATTGCGGCGCGCGAAAAGCCGCACTGCGGTGTCTCGGGCGTTCCCTTCATGAAGAGCACGACGGGTGCTGAGGCTACGGCTTTGTCGATTGCGGAGCGGGTTTGGTCGGAGAGCAGACGGGCTTGGAAGGGTGTGAGGGGGGAGATTGGTGTGCGGAAGAGAGGAGCTGTTGAGCGGACGGCGACAGGCCGGGCGGCTTGTCTGAGGGACTAGAAGAGTTAGCTTTTGGATAGTAAAGGTGGTGGAGGGATAGGGCGTACTGAAGCTACTGTTCGCGCAAACATTGTGGCGGCTGTGAGGGAGAATGTGGTGGTGAGAGAATGGAGATGCGCAGTGGATTTGGAGTGTTGGAGATGGCGGAAGTTTTGGATGGGATTAGTGATGTCAAGGATGTTCCGATGCCGATCCCCGGATATCAGTGGCGAAAGGACCAATCAGCGATGAGGCGATTGCGGCTTATCAACAATGTCGTGTTTGCCCATAGTGATGTTAGAATGACAATCATTCAGAGACCACAACCTGATGCGTTTTGTCCTTCAATGTTAATAAAACTCACCTCTATCGGTAGGCTCCGAGTGTTTCGTGTTCCATTGCTTATTGTTTGGCCTAGCTAGGCACCTTCAAGCAGCAGCTTCACCAATTGTAGACTACAGCACCGTTAAAGACTAACTCTCTTACCAATCCCAACGCTGGCCAGATCATTCTGTAAACACGCTATGGTAATCAGTCCATTCTTAGGTTCAGTCGGCACTGCGAAGACGCTTTCAGCACTTGCGATTCGGCTCGTGACATTCTCAGAGTTCATCATATGACGCGGGGCTGATGGCGGGGTCAATTAGATAAAGCTCCCGTCTGCTGTCAATTCTAAAGATTCTCACAGGCATTGATTCTCAATTAAACAATCAGCCAATTATTTACCAAACTTTATCTATCACTCACATTTGAAGCTGAGGTCATAAAGTTGACATCACTCCACCTAACTGCATCGGACCCTATCAATTCTCGTCAAGACTGCTGACAAACGCATCTGCATCTCACTCAATCTCAGTGCCCAGGGGGAGGAAAGAAAACAAAACTCAGGACCTTAATCCTAAATAATAAAAATATTTAGGTCAATAGTATACGCTTAGGATACCTTTACTAAGGTTAGGATACCTTTATTTAGAAGTTTAGGATACCTTTGCTAAGTTTAGGGTAGCTTTTGCTGAGTGTATTTTAACACCCAATATCAAGGTCTGATATTTTCTTGCTCCCAGAGAAATGCTTCACAGAATTCAACACGGGCACGACGCCCATCGCGACCACCACATGCGCAACTCAACTGAAGCTCTCGAACAGGCCCGAGGCGATGGCAAGCGCCATATCCTCCTCGCCGCCTCTGGTTCTGTTGCGACAATTAAGCTCGTCCAGATTATAAATGGTCTCAAATCACAACCCAACATCTCCATCCGTCTCATCCTCACTCAATCA